CAAAGACCAGGGGGAGTTAATGTAGTAATATAAATTACAATGGGAAATCAACATACATAATGTATGTACATCACGCATTCATATTATGAAAAAATCGCAAAAACGGTTGTTGGCCGCTCACAGTTAATGTTTCGGCATGCAGTTTAACAACGTGGATTGTACAAGTGTACATGTGCAGCCCATTTGTCAATCCACTGCTAGACGTGGGCGTTTCTATATGGTGCAGACAGTGGGAAGGCCCTCATTATTTAACCATTCTTAATCATGCTGGCAAATATGGGTTGGTGAATAATTGAGGCATATACGTTGGCAAACCTAAAAAATTAATTGCAATATTAATAATTACTGTAAACCAATATTGGAATTTCTTAAAACAAATCCACACCAAGTGTTCAAACTCATTTACATGACGGTTCCCTTAAGAAAAGACCTCCAATGCATACAGACCACACAATTGTAGATGTGTTAGAATAAATGCTGATTTGTTAACTTTGGCCATGAGCAGAGATTGTGTCGTGGCTGTTCTGTCTCACAGTGTCGCAAGCTACGTGGAAAACAGGAAGAACAGAAAATGGCAGACTTCCCAGCCGATCGACTCAGTGTGGAACCTCCCTTCACCTCTGTAGGGATTGACGTGTTCGAACCATGGACAGTCATCTCCCGCCTCACCAGAGGAGGGCTCGCGAACAGAAAACGTTGGGCAGTGATGTTCACCTATATGAGTACACGAGCAATGCACATCAAAGTCATCGAGTCCATTTATAAAACTCTTCGAGCTTTATAAATGCACTCCGGAGATTCTTCGCCATTAGAGGGCCAGCCAAGCAACTCCGTTCTGATTGTGGAACCAATTTCACTGGAGCATGTAAAGAACTTAAGATCAATACAGAGAATGTCGAAGATGATTCTGTCAGGAAATACCTTAGTGACCAAGGCTGCACATGGATCTTCAATCCTCCCCACTCTTCGCATATGGGTGGAGCCTGGGAACGCATGATCGGGATTGCTCAATGCATTCTCCCCTAACCCTAACCCTCCATGCTATGTGATGTCGGGTCCACACGGCTCTCTCACGAGGTCTTGACCACTCTCATGGCCGAGGTCTCAGCCATAATTAACTCAAGACCCCTGATCCCCGTCTCAACCGACCCGGAGTCACCATTCATCTTGACTGCTACACTTCTTACCCAGAAGACAGACGTGCTCACAGCACCTACCGAGGAGGCCAGCACTGCAGACCTCTACAGACGTCAATGGAGACAAGTGCAGAGCTTCGCAAACACGTTCTGGCATCGCTGGAAAAACGAGTACCTTGCGACACTCCAAGTACGCAACAAGTGGCAGTCTAACAGACCAGACATCCAAGAAGGCGACCTCGTCCTACTGAAGTACAACCAAGCCAAGCGGAATAAGTGGCCAATGGGCCGCATCCTCAAGTCGATTCCAAGTGCCGATGGAAAAGTTTGAAAAGTCGAGGTTATGATTGCGAAGCAAGGTGTCGCAAGAACTTTCGTCAGGCCCATAGTCGAGATAGTACTACTTCTCTCTCGCAAAGATATGGACAAATAAGTTGACCCGTCGAAGTTGTTATACATTTGTTTATGAGATAGGGAATAAATGGTGGTATCTCCTAGATACCAGACGGGGAGTGTTCTGTCTCACGGCGGGAGTTTTGCCGCGCGGCAGATGGGGGGGGGGGGGCGTATGTACACAGGAAGTTCCTGTTTTTGATGCTGGTTTTGGTCACGTGACCAGGAAGTTGCGATTTTAGATTTCCACTGAACCTCGCGGGCATCGGCCATTGCGCAGGTAAGTCGGGATGGCGGCACCCATCGCGTCTCAGTGAAGCTAGACGCAGTTGTCCATCGTGGGACTTTGAGAAGCATTGTCTGTAAGTTTGTTTATATTCTTATAATATTGGCAATGCTGTTGTAATGTTGGAATGACCGTTATAGTGATGTAAATGCCTTTATGGTACCGTTAAGTTGTTGTGGTAAATACGAGGCCTAGTTAGCAACGAAGCCTGCAACTTTCCTTATTGTGGATGTTACTTGTGATTTAGTAGGTCGAGTCAGACTTGTGCCCAGGTGGCTATGTTGCGATCCTGAGAGTAAAGATGACGAAGTATCTCATCCACAGTTTAGTGTTATGTGTAATGCTGTACATTTGGGGTGCAGTGGGATGAATACACGATGTGCCTTTATGCAACGCACCGGCTTGTGCTCTTGTGTAGTTGTTCAGTGGTAATGTAGGGGCCTGGTCCGTCCAGGATCTATTGTTATCTAAGACAATGTTCTGATGCTGTGGTGTTCATTGTGTTGGTGTTTCCGGGTTAAACAGATGCTGTATCTGTGTTTTCTCACCAGTTTTACCTTGTTAAAATCAATAAATGACGATTGGAGTCGGACGTTCATCCTGGCTCCGAGGGTTTATTGAACACAAGGTTATCTACTCGAATAGCGGTGCAACGCAGCGCACAGCGAGGCCGAGATAGTGGCATCTTAATGCTCTGTAGAATCCCACATCACCCCATCCCTAAGTCATACTTAGTTGTTGTTTTTTGTTTGGTCTTGCACTCTCCTTGTTCGACAAGCCGGGAAAACACTTTGGCCTGCTCAATAATAATACAAAGTCAATTTGGCACAGAATGTATTACCAGTGCAATGGTCTGCAACTGCAAATTCCGCACATAGATGAATTTTGAGCCAGGCCATAAAAAGAAGAGAAATATGCACTTTCCAATACACTCTTTCTAGTCCATACTTGAACTGGAATTAACTGGTGCTGTTTAATGAAACATGCATGACATTGTATCTGTTGCAGTACTTGGAGCTGCGTTTCAATAAAATCATACGTTTGTTTGGAACGGTTTTTTACATCGTGCAACCTGTGAGTAGACATATTACTCTACACACTTTTCACAGTTATGCTAATCATTTCAATTGGAAATGTATTTGAAGTTTAGTACTTCTATACAATCAATTGCATTTCTGGTATGTCTGCACTAACAGAGCCTCGCCTGGCAAAGAATGGTATCAAACGTCTTTCAATAGACTCTCCCCTGCACAGTAACACAGTGAAAACGCTAAACTTTCCAGGAAACAGCCTTGACATGGGAATATGAAAAACATTTCAACTTATTTTAAAGCGCATTTGTCCAGATTCTATTATGCAGTGGCCACCAAATCCATTTGTCCAGAATCTATTTTGGAAGCGTCTTCGGGCTGAGATTACAAAATCTCAAACAGAGCAATACTGGCAGGTAGCCTGATAAAAAAAAAACATAACGTGTTTGTTTTGGGTTGTAGACTACATTGTTTGAATTTTAGCTGTGTTACAATTCACTCTCTTTTATAAACTCTTTGGTTTTTTCGGTGAAGTCAATTAGAAAGAAAATAAATTAAATAATAGAATACGACGTTTCGATTGCAAAACGAGCAATCGTCATCAGGTAGAACTAAATTTGAAAAAGAGACAAAACACAGACACGGAGACACACAGACAGTCACACAGGCAGAGAGAGACAACACAGAGACACAGAGAGAGAGAGACACAACATAGACACACATAGACCCAATGCCTCTGTGTCGAGGCCTTAAATAGAGAGATGAGGGGGGGGGGCAGAGAGAGAGGTGGGTCTGCTGGAGCAGCTGCTGAAGCAGAGAAATTAGCATGTCAATGAGAGAGTTGTGTGGAAATATACACCCCGCGGCGGCCGGGGGAGAGAAAGACCCAACAAGCCTGGTAAATTTTAGAGAGAGTTGTGTGGAAATCCACTCCGAAGCGGCCGGGGGAGAGAAAGAGCGAATGGACCTATAAGAGCCTGGTACATTTTAGTGTGTCTATGTTGTGTGTCTCTCTCTGTGTGTCTTTGTGTGGTCTCTCTCTGCTTGTGTGTCTGTTTGTGCGTCTCCGTGTCTGTGTTTTGTCTCTCTCTCAAATTTAGTTATATATATTTTTGGGTTATTTCGGTAAAGTCACATAGGTATAAAATAAAATAAATTAAGTCAGTGATTTAATTTATTTTATTTATTTTAAATCAGTGATTTAACTTATTTAATTTTATACCTACATGACTTTACCGAAAAAAAACAAAGATTATGGATCCCTGCAGTCACGGAAACTTCAGATCTAGTTCTATATAACCAGAGAAAGGGCTAATTAAATATGGCTGGTATGATTTGTTCATATATTTTGTTATGAGGTATTGTCTTATGAGGTGTTCATGATTTAAATACATATTTCTCCATGTTTTTTTTAAATCACCTACTGTGATAAGGAAATATTTAACGCGTAGGTGGAGGCTTTGTGTCCTTGATTTAACGCATGCAGAAAGCATTGCTCTTCACTCTTTTGTAAAGGAGTGATGTGTTTTGATATGTAAAAATAGCAGCAGTCATCTTTTTTTCGCTTGACTATGTGTTATTGGTCCATTTAACAAAAAAATCCTCCAGTCTCCAATGCTTCTGCACTGTGGAAAGGCTGTGCTCTGCTTCCTATTGTTGTTTGGCAGCTGGGTATAATGTTCATGATGGGGTGCACAATCCAAGCAATGCAATGGTAAATACATTAACATTCTCATAGAATGAATACAGCTCTCGGTTCAGCATGCTTTCCTTGTATTTTTATTAAATTGTTATGTGCCTGAAAGTTATATTGATATCATAAAATTGGTTTTCTGTATATTTTAAATATGTGAAAGAATTTGTTCTGAGTTGGATATTTTGGTACATGGTGTACTTTGCAAAGTCAGCATGGGTTTTCACAACATACTTCTTGACATTTGAGTCGAAACCAACAATATTTTAAAGAGGGTTGGTCACAGTTCTGTACCCAACATGTAATCTGAACAAGAGAGGAACCTTTGTGTAATTTTGCTGATCTCATTCAGATATGCACTTGAATGAAATACACACAGAACTAGGAATGTTAATGTACTTCAAAACGCTCCTATTTAAGGAAAAACTTCAAAAGGTTTGGCCATTGTAAATGAACTACTCGCTAATCTTGCAATGGACGCTGTGTCTGGAAGGATTGTGGGCACGTTTGGAGTGTGGGACTATGTGTTGTTTGCCCTCATGCTGTTGGTATCTGCAGTCATTGGGATTTACTTTGCCACTAAGGAGCGCTCCAATGCTGACTTTCTCATGGGCGGCCGCCAGCTCTCCCCTGTGCCCGTGTCTGTGTCCCTCACAGCGAGCTTCATGTCTGCCATTGCCGTGCTCGGCACCCCAGTTGAAATCTATCGCTACGGCGTCAGCTTCGGCTACATGGGGCTCACCTACGTGCTCATGGTGGTCGTGAGTGCCGAGGTTTTCCTGCCTGTCTTCTACGAGCTGGGCATCACCAGCACATACGAGGTACTGCATTCATGCCACGCGTACGTTGTCCACCTCTAAAGTAGGTCCGCTGCCCAGAATGTTAATTTACATTTAATTCGCGGTTTGTAAGGTTGTTGATAATGGTAAAGTATTTTAAGCCCTTTTGGATGCAGGTGCAGGGGTCATGTAAGCGTGCAGATCTGTCACATCGCTATTAACAGTGATTAGATTAACACATAGGCTTGTTGTGACTAATATTATCCATAGTAGAGGTTTTTCGAGTTAGATCGCGTAAATATAAATGTGTCATTAAACCCGCCACCACCCGATAGTCAATTAGTAAGGGTTGTTACATAAACACAACATGACAATTCGTTACTAGTTCAGCTCACCGGTGTGTTGGAGAATAAACCCACAACATTTAGAATTCGAGTATGATGTTTAAATTAAAACCAGCCTAATCAGGCGACAAACGTTATTGTGGAGAAATACTCCTGTTTCGGTCTTAAATAGAGGAGGTGAATGTGATATAATCACTGTGAGCCAATCAGGTGCAAAGACCAGGGGGAGTTAATGTAGTAATATAAATTACAATGGGAAATCAACATACATAATGTATGTACATCACGCATGCATATTATGAAAAAATCGCAAAAACGGTTGTTGGCTGCTCACAGTTAATGTTTTGGCATGCAGTTTAACAATGTGGATTGTACAAGTGTACATGTGCAGCCCATTTGTCTATCTACTGCTAGACGTGGGCGTTTTTACATGGTGCAGGCAGTGGGAAGGCCCTCATTATATAACCATTCTTTATCATGCTAGCAAATATGGGTTGGTGAATAATTGAGGTATAAACGTTGGCAAACCTAAAAAAGAAAATGCAATATTAATTAATTACTGTAAACCAATACTGGAATTTCTTAAAACAAATCCACACCAAGTGTTCAAACTCCTTTACATGACGGTTCCCTTAAGAAAAGACCTCCAATGCAAACAGACCACACACAATTGTAGATGTGCTAGAATAAATGCTGATTTGTAACTTTGGCCATGAGCAAATATTGTGTCGTGACATCTTAATATTCTGTAGAATCCCACATCACCCCGTTCCTAAGTCATACTTAGTTGGGTTTTGTTTGGTCTTGCACTCTCTTTGTCCGACAAGCCGGGAAAACACTTTGACTGCTCAATAATAATACAAAGTCAAATTGGCACAGAATTTATTGCCAGTGAAATCGTCTGCAACTGCAAACTCCACAAGTAGATGAATTGTGAGCCAGGCTATAAAAAGAGGAGAAATATGCAATTTCCAATACACTCTTTCTAGTCCATACTTGAACTGGAAATGACTGGTGCTGTTCACTGAAACATGCATGACATTGTATCTCTTGCAGTACTTGGAGCTGCGTTTCAATAAAATCATACGTTTGTTTGGAACGGTTTTTTACATCGTGCAAACTGTGAGTAGACATATTACTCTTCACACTTTTCACATTAATGCTAATCATTTCAATTGCGAATGTATTTGAAGTGTAGTACTTCTAGACATATGTTAAATGCTTGTTCATATATGTATATGTATTTTTGCTTAATAAATGAATGCCTGCATATAGATAGAATAAACAATCTTTTGCGATTTTTTCAGGTTCTTTATACTGGAATTGTGATTTATGCTCCTGCTCTGGCTCTTAATCAGGGTAAGGACAGTCTTCCTCATTTCTTATATTTTGGTTGATGAAATGATAGTACATTATACCAAATGTTGTTTGGAAAATTAGGCTAGTTGATTGCTGATATGACCCAAAGGTTCAAAATGTTATCACATATCAACTGCATATTTCCACTCATATCCTGTCTCACAATTTATCTGCGAGTTGAGTTTGTGGTTGTGGAACATTCCATTGGCAAGAAATTACCTGAAAAAATGCCTTTTTGTTATTATTGAGCAGGCCAGAGTGTTATTTCGGCCTGTCGCATGAATAGAGCTCAAGATAAAACAGAAAATTCCGACCACATATGACTATGGGGTGAGGAGGATTATGCCTGAGTACCATGATGTCACGGCACAATTTCTGTTCAGAAGCAGAGCTAACAAAACAGCCTTTGCTCTAACATACACCGACACGTGTGTGTATGCATTGCGAGTCCGTTCTGAACGAAACCAATCATGAAAATATAGACTCTGAACACCTGGTGTCGATTACCAATGGTGGTGATGATCACAGATCTACACACCATTTTCCCTAACACCTGTGCTGTGCTGGCCTTGATAAGTGCTCAATACTGTGTATCTTTGTGTTTACGTGTGTGGGATGGCGAGCGGTGGTGTAGTGGTCAGTGCATTGCGCTACGAACTTGACAACCCGCGTTCGAGTCCTGCTCACGCTCGACACCAGTGACGATGATCTGAAATGGTCCTGGGCCTCCCCTAGGTCGACTCAGTATGGCCACTAGGTAGACAACGGCGGCCGCTCGCGGTGCTGGCCAACCACCCCCTAGTGTGCCATTCCGGCCTTCATAGGTGCTCGCTAACAGCACTTGCTCCTCCAGTCTGTTAAGGCTATACAGGGTATCTTTGTGTTCATCTAAAGTGGGGTAAACATTATCACTCAGTTGTGGCACTGACCACACCACACCCTTTCTCGACATGCCAGCCTTTATAGGCGCTCCATAACAGCACTTCCTTCAACATCCTATGCTGGCTATGGTGGGGTGGCAAATATTTAGTCAATTGTGTATCTATTTGTTTGCTAATGCATTAGTCTGTATGTTCGGTGCATGTATTGCAATGTTTGTATGCGTCTGCATCATGGAAAATCCACCCACGAATAACTGAGACTTCACCGTATTTTGCGTGCAGCCTGTTACAAGTTGTTTGCTCTCGGTTCCTTAACTCTACAGTGCTCCAAAACTATTTGATGTAGCTAAGGGCACCACTTACCAATTACAACATATCTCTGCATTAGGCTTTTTGGATTGAATGTTCCACTTCGTCATCCATTCTGGAACCAAGAAACTAGCATTACGTGTTGATTTCGCAATGCTGCATGACTGTATGTGTTTTTTTGTGATACGAGGAAGTATAAAATCTGGTCTTAAGTTGGCATAAATCTTTATTTTTATCAAAAGGTAGACCATGATTATAACGTGTTTTTTCAGTGACTGGATTTAACCTATGGGGGTCGATTATGGCGACAGGGATCGTATGCACTTTCTACACTACACTGGTAAGGCACTCGTGCAGGCACTTGTAGCATTAGCATGAACCTGTGTGAATAACTTATCTCACGTTTGAATGGTCAACATGACTTTCTTCCTTCAGAAAAAAATAATCAACATAATTGAATAATACTGCCAAAAAGGTCCCGTAGATATTACTACATTGAATATTGGCATCACATATCTACTATGAGGAATAGCCATTGCCCAAAATGTCATCTATTATATAATTTATTGTATTTTATTAATACTCTTTCCAATAACATCTGGTAATTCAGTAGCATTTTATTAATGTTTCATGGAAATCCATGAGGAGTTTGTTTTTGTTCTAAGTGTGTATAACAATCTCCTCATTCCCTTTCAGGAATTTCACGTAATGTCAGAACTGCACACGGTTTATATTTTTTTCTGTAGGGTGGGCTTAAGGCTGTGGTTTGGACAGACGTGTTCCAAATCGGGGTTATGGTGGCGGGATATCTGGCGGTGATCATCCAGGGAACGATCCTGCAGGGCGGCTTCTCTGTCACCTGGGAGAGGTCTCAGCAGGGAGGTCGTCTCGACCCTCTGAGGTGTGGCTCTCTCTGTTACTCATTGCCTCTTCAGTGAGGTGACACATAGAAGCAGTTTCTACCGTGATCGACTATAAGTGACAGTGCCTCGGGAGTTTTGAGCCCTTTGTTTCGTGTGGTCACATCAGTACAATCATGCTGCCAGTACTGAACGTCATTTCAGCTTGTACAGTCCAGAACGCATAAAACAGTGAGTCCATGCGTCGACATTTTATAAAATGTTCACAGGATTATAGGGATATAGGACAATGGTCATGGGAATGCAGAATTTTTTTTTAGACATTGTGCAAATTTGTATATCTTTTTACAGAATTATGCTTTATATTTTGACCAAACAGATGCTGAATGTTGACTTAAAGCTTTCGTGACTGCAGGAATTCATATTCTTTGTGTTGTGATCGAAACGTCGTGATATTTTTATTATATTCTATCTACGTGGCTTTACCGAAAGACCCAAATAAGATGCTGAATCGTTACCATACTGAAATCAGTTTATTTATTTATTGCTAATACCACACGCGGTTAAAGTAACTCATCACATGAAGTCACTTAAAACTATTTAAAAACTACATAAAGCTTGTTAATTATTGCTAAAAGAGAGAATACAGCATGATAGAAGTGAACTAAGTGACATTTATAAAGCGTCTCTACAGATTATTGGAATATAATCGACACAATTGCACAGAAATCGGCTGATAATGTATTTTACAAAACTAACACTCACAAATTTGCCGGACAAACAACTCTCAACTAAAAATGTATAAACAAAACGGTTATCAACCTGACTAACGTTGAAATATCCAGTGATATGGTATCAGTCCTGTCTAAAGGTCTTAACTTTGCTGTTGCCCCACGTACAATCCTTGCCGATTAGATAATTGCTGAAGTGGAATCAGCAGTTAAACATCTCCCACATAATCAAGCTGAAATAAATATTAATTTCAGTGAGGCAAAAGGCTTAAGAGAACTAAGAGCAAATAAAGATATCCAAGTTATTGCTGCTGATAAAGACCAATCAACTGTTGTGATGCCCCATGAGAATTACGATAATAACATCAAATATTTACTCGATGAAGGTACCTACCTTAAAATTCAACGAGACCCAACCAATACCTTGGAATGGAAGACAATGACAATCATTGCCAAGTCATCAATTCCCAAGGAAGAGCAATACCTGATCAAACCAAGGGCGTCAAAACCACCAAGAATATATGGGCTTCCAAAGATTTACAAACCTGATGTCCAATTAAGACCCATAGTTTGTATAATAGGCTCTGCCACATACAAATGATCACAATACGTAACGAAACAAATACAGCCCGACATCGGTAAGACCTCTTCGTTCATTATAAACTCAGAACATCTCGTAAATACAATTAAAGATATTCTCGTAAGTTTGATGTGACTTCTCTGTTCACCAGGGTTCGGGTCAATGAGTCACTTCTAATACTCGATACTCTGGTAATAAAGACAGGTTTAGCCAAAGATATCCCACGACTAGCTGAACACTGTTCCTTCTGGAAAAGTGATTTTTATAAACAAAAGGAAGCAGCAGCAATGGGTTCTCCTTTGTCTCTTGTGATTGCAAATTTGTACTTGGATGATTTTGAAGCAAAAGCAATAGCCTGAAGCACTCTAAAACCCTCTGCTTGGTTTAGATATGTGGATGGCACACTGGTGGTCTGGCCACATGGCGTAGATACATTTAAATAATTTCTAAATCATCTCAACTTGCTAAACCCATCCATCCAGTTCACCATGGAAGTGGAAGTTGACAGAACTCTCCTATTTATAGATATTCTATTCGGGGGCGGCTGAAATGGTAAAATAAAACAGCGTTTACCGAAATAAAATGCACACTAACGCCTATCTGAATGCAGTCACACCATCACTTCACACATAAATCCTCTCTCATCAAGACGCTCATACATCGTGCTAAGAAAGTGTCAGATGGTGATAGTCTGAGAAGTGAAATTCAACATGAGAATAGGGTTTCCCCTTTTTTCTGGCAACAAAACAGGTGTTAAGATGTTAAAACACCAAACTGAAACCTTTTACAAGGAATCATGTCTGCATATAACCACAATACTTGTGGTCAGAATGCAAAAAAAACATACTCTGACAATATATGCATTGTCTTTGAAACTGATTGGTCCACACTAGTCTCAAAACGGTGTTAGACCAGAGGACACCTGATTTGTTGCCATAAAAAAGGGGAAACCCTATTCTCAATTGAATGGTTATAATGGCGCACAAATCAACAGGGTACTGAATGCCAAAACCAAATCAAATAACACGAGAGTTGAAACTGACCAAGTAATTAAAACTATTAAAATACTGTACATTGCGAGATTAACTGATAAACTAGCCAAATTTGTGGATAAATAAAACCTCCGAGTAAGATTTGGCATGGTACATAAAATATAGAAACTATTATCTGGTACTAAAGATGCATAACCGAAGCTATCAACAGAAGGTGTTTACCGGATTAATTGCACTTGTGGCAAATGCTATGTTGGGCAAACAGGACGAATGATCAGCACAAGAATAAAAGAACACCAAAGAAATATTAAATACTCCCAAATACAACTGTCATAAATGGTAGAACACGCGTGCCAACAAGGACACTCAATTGATTTTGATAATGTTGAAGCTATGTGCGAAACTAGTTACTACTGGCCAAGACTAATTAGAGAATATATCGAATTTAGAGAAATATATTTAATTTTAACCATTCCGATAGCTACAGGCTTAGTGTTGATTGGAAGCGAATCATCAAATAATACATTGTTTAAATGCATGTAGGTCACCATAACATTTAAATGCATACAGGTCCCCATACGTCAATGGGGATTACCTGTACGCAGTCAATATCACGCAAACAGGAGGTACAAGAACAATGTGCATGCATAATGGTCATGCATAATGTACGTTGATCACCATATGAATAACCAAACCGGCAATAGATACCGATTGTAATTAATATGCATTCATTAACCCCCTCCCCTCCTTCACAAGTGAAGAGCTCACAAGTGACGTCATCACATCTATCACTCTATTTAAAGAACGAAACAAGAGGATTTCACCACAAATCTGTCTGTCTGCCTGATGATGGTAGTTGTAATTACTGGCGAAACGTCGTACTCAGATTGTAAATGTTGTGGATTTTCTCTCCAACACACAAGTGTGCTGTACTATTGACGAATTGGCATGTTCTGTTTACGTGACAAATCTTACAAATTGGCTATGTCGGATGGTGGCGGGTTTAACGATACATTTATATTTACGCAATCTAACCCAAAAAAAACTATATTATGGAGTTTATTTCTCAATGGAATGTACCCACATGTTCCGTACTAGAGTATAGGCTTCTCATTATTGCATTTAGCTTCACGCTTTTAAGGCTTAGTAGATCTTAGCTTCATATTCTGGTAAGAAGGCATTACAGATATTTACCGTTCTGCTATTTTAAATATATATATCTCAATATTCAACTTTTCAATGTTGAACTTCTGCCCAAAATTACACATTATTTGGTGATACTGCATTAGCAGTGGTGCACAAGGACACACAAAAATCAACACATTCGTCAATAACACTGCCTTTAAAGGAAGGCATATTAAAGGGAATGAATGGAGCAATGGCCCTTCTTCACAACACATGAAGAGGCCACTTCTCTGTTGTTCTGCTCATGTCATTTAATGCCATTTTTATTCGGCGCAATGTGATTGTCAAGTTATTACAACACAATTCTCCTGTCTCAGCTTCCATCCTGACCCAAGGTTTCGACACACGTTTTGGTCTGTCTTGGTGGGCGGCACATTTGTGTGGACGACCATCTATGGAGTCAACCAATCTCAAGTTCAACGATACTTGGCTTGCAAGACGCAGCGACAGGCCAAGCTGTAAGTGTTTGAAGAGGGTTTTTCACATCTTACATGTTTTGGATTTCTTATGCAGAAAGATACTAATATATTTGGTCGGCATCAGGGACGTGCGGTCAGGGGAGGCAGGGGAGGCAGAGCCTTACCTGTCATACTCCAATGAAAATAGTTGTTATGAAAAGTAAAAAAAATAATAATCAAATAAAATTAAATTTTAGATTTTTCCACTGATCCGTGTCATAAATGTCATTTCTGTACGATTCCAATTATTTATATAGTCAAAATCGCCAAATTTGCGGAGCTCCGCTACAAATACAGGAAGAGACGAAAGGTGAGGCAGCGACGAGCTCAGCCTCCCCTCTAATTGCACAACCCCTCAATAACTGGATGGAGCGCGGGCAATAAGCGCGTGCCTGTTACTATCTCAGTATGTCACCAATGTAATGTTTATAGACTCCTTAATTTCATGTCATCGCCTTCCATACTCCAGGTAACTTATTTCACGTATGTGTATAAAGATATTTAGGCTCGCTGGTCTCGTCATGAAACTGCAATGAAAAAGCACCAGGGGAGGCAGCTATCACATCTGCCTCACTGAGGGGGATGTGTCTAGCACGCCTCCCTCCATGAGGCCACGCCCCCCTCAGTGTTTGAATCTGGCTCTGATACTAGCCAAGGCCTCCCCAGCCATTGACCTCACCACACGTCACTGGTCGGCATTATATAAACACAACTGTGTACCAAGAGCGACTCAGAAACCAAAAAACCCATCACAACAACGATATTGGTATCAAAACGTAAGCAATTGGGCTACCTGAAATTTAGAAAAATCATACTCTTTGGTTCTTTTGGTAAAGTCACGTAGGTCCAAAAAATAATAGATCACGACGTTTTGATCGCCACACAAGTAATCGTCTTCAGGTGGGAGAGACAAACAGGCTACTAAAACAAGTCCTTATATATAGAGCCGAGAGGGGGGGAGGGGGGTTGCCGCATCGGGCAAGAGGGTGGGGGCTAGAGATTGTGCCTAAGCGAGTGGGAAATCCAAAGATGGGAACCGAGATGGGGGGGAAGGGGGGATTGTGGTTGATGCGAGAGCTGCGAGAGCTGAGGAGCAGAGGAGGTGGCCATTGTATTGTGAGATATTAGCATGTCAATCAGAGGTCGCAAACGGGTTTTGATTCCTTACCCGTACCCGGCCGCACTAGGGTCGCAAACGGGTACCCGTACCCTACCCGATACCCGGCTACCCGTACCCAGCCGGGTATCGGGTAGGGTACGGGTACCCGATTGCGACCTCTGGGATGAAGCCATGTTGCAGGCGCGGGTGGGTTGATTCTAGGAACTTGAATTGTGAGAAGAGACAAGACGTTGGGAAATGAGTGACAAATGGTTACTCACCAGTGACTCACGGCCTACCCGTACCCGTACCCGGCCGAACCAGGGTCGCAAACGGGTACCCGTACCCGGCTGGGTACGGGTAGCTGGGTATCGAGTAGGGTACGGGTATCGGGTACCCGATTGCGACCTCTGATGTCAATGTAAACGAACCAACGCAACGGTGGCTGTGCTACTGAGACATCCAGCTCGTTATAAAATGAGGGAAACAAACGGGGGACAACACTACATCGAGGGAAGGAGAGAGACACACACCGAGAGGCACACGCACGCACAGAGAGAGAGAGACATCTAGAGAGACACACACATTAAACGAAAGACATACAGAGAGAGAGACACATACACAACAACATCACAGCCAGTTATAGTCTGCTAAAAAACGAGAGCCACCGCCACATTGAGGGAAAGGGGCAACGTTGGCTTTGTTAGTGAGATTTTAGCTCGTTAATGTAAAGACATTTCGCTTGGTAATGTAAATTGGTAATGTAACTCAGAGAGTCGGAAAAAACTGCTGACGGTGGCAGGTAGGATAGAAACATCAACAACCAGTTAAGGCTTTACCTGGTTAATAACATCCTTCCAATGATTGCTCAATTTGTACCCATCTTCTCAGTTGAAGTTATGTCTGTGTTTATATATCTGGATGGCTTCATGAACAAATCTTTGATGGTAGTCCGGAAAGTTTGCAGAGTATCTTGGTCTCGGAAAAACAATGTCGTGTGAGCCCACCGCATTCAATCAGTGATCAGCCATTGCAGAGGTATTGGTTCTGCCGTGTTTCAAATCTGCCTCGTGTTCGCGAACACGGTCCGATACAAGTCGTTTCGTTTCCCAAATGTAACTGCTACTGCAGACACAACTTAGTTTGTAGACACCAGGAATCACATTTTTCACAGATGGTATCAGGTCATGGATTTTGTGTACTGTGTTGAATTGAACCTGAATCTTGTGTTTGTTAAAGATTTTAGAAATATTTTTGGTAACCCCTGCTATGTATGGCAAGGTGATGGTTTTGATTGGGTCCTCAGATGCTTCTCTACCCATGGTTGGGGATAAAGCTTTGTGGATTGTGCGGACCGAATATCCATTAATCTTGAGGGCTTGGCGTACGTGCTCCAGTTTACTGGATAGGTGGTGCTGGTCGGAGATGCAATGGGCCCTATGGTGCAGTGTTTTGATGAGGGAATTCTTCTGGGCTGGATGGTGGTGGGAATCAGGCTTTAGATAGGAATCCGTGTGGGTGGTTTCCTGTCGACAGAGTGTCCCAACGAACCATCAGGTCTCTTCTTGATCAAGCCCTCAAGATGATTGGATATTCGGACCGCACAATCCGCAAATCTGTATCCCCAACCATGGGTCGAGAACCATCTGAGGACCCAATCAAAACCTTGTTTCAGCAGCCTGTTTCTCTCTCCCACCCTCGAGCTCCTGCTCTCGGTTCCTTTTATGCTACCAGCACAGCCTGGCTCAGCCCTGACCGCGCCTCCCTTCTCATACCCACTAGCAGGTTCCAGAGGCCTCCAGATGGGGTCCTCCATGACCCTTGCCCTAGTTTTTCCGCTTTGTCAACACACCCTTGCACTCCCTCACCGGCGTGTGTACTGTCTGTCCTCCACAGTTGCCGCCACTGCCCACCAGCCGGCGCTATTACACTACACATACACTAGCCACTTCATATATATTTTGTCCAGTATTTTTTTGAGATCCTCGGTTGATGGGTGGTGACCATTGGGGGAGTGTTTGGGACCATCCTCTAGACTCAGTGGTTCCCAACCTTTTTTGGTTACTGTACTTGGTTACCGTACCTCTTGTTAAATTTTGTTTCAACCGAGTATCCCCCTTGTCTGACCCAACATGGTTCTAATAAATAAATGTATGAATAATGAATATCAATATTTTAACCAATCGTCCATTTGTGAGGTATCCTAACTAGCTAGTAACTGTAAGCAAATAAAGAATAATTAAATACACGCTTGGTATTTTTGGAAACCACATGGTTTATGATCCATGAGTTTAGACAGTGATTTTTTTATATCGTTCTCTGTTACCATATGGATTAAAATATTATTGTAGTTACTTTATATTGACAGATTCATACATGATTGTTCACCAATGACTCTTATGTATGACATAATTTCACACATTTATACATCACATCACGTACCCTCCGGGACATTGCCACATACCCCCAGGGGTCCACGTACCCCCGGTTGAGAACCACAGCTCTATATACTTTACATATGCATTGAAGTTGATGGATCACATTGGGTATGTTTGTAAAATGTGGGAGCGATGATGGAACAGTTAGCGCGCTGCACTACAAACCCGGTGACCGGAGTTCGATTCCCACTCATGGCCATCACCAGTGACAATTATCTGAATCGGTCCAAGGTTTCCCCTAAGTCGACTCAGCCTCAAATAAGTACCTCATGAGTATACATCGCCACTAGAGAGACAAAGGCGGGTTATGAGTGGTGCGGGCCACTAACCCCCTCGTGTGCTGTATAGTCATTCATACCTGCTTGCTAACAGCACTTGCTCTAACAGCTTGTTAGGGCTATATAGGAATCTTTGTTTATATCCTATCGATTTACAGCCCTTCATCAACAGACTCATGATAAAGTCCTCCTCATGCTGTGTTAGTCTTGGGGGTTGGTTGATTAGCTTAGAATAACATGATTAATGTGAGTTTTGTGTTTGTATTTAAAGTTGTGTGCATCAAACCAAATACTTTTTTTATGGTGAATGCAACTTTCTGTTATAATTGGCTTCCATACTTATACCTTAGTGTAGAGATTCATAATACTGTTTTTTTTTACAAAAACATCTCAGTAATCGCCCTCACTGAAATAAAAAAGTTTAATTTTATTTTAATCATCTGCTGACTTCAACATCGAACCGAGCTGGACTGTATCTTTGAACTACACTGTTCCCGAACATGTTTACACATGAATTGAGAATAGAGCTCTGTGCTTTGAAAAACGTGACTCTCTGTTGCCTGCCTACTACCACTGAACCTTCTCCAGAGCTCTGTACCTGAATCTGCTGGGTTTGTGGATAATCCTGGCTTGCTCCGTCCTCTGCGGACTGGTTATGTACGCGCAATACGCCGACTGTGACCCGCTCACTGCTGGGCTCGTCTCTGCCAGTGACCAGGTGAGGGATCATCTATAAGACAACCATTGATTTTACCATCATAACACTATGTAACACAATTTTTGTTCCTGGATAGTAAGTGTTATTTCCTAATTGCTTATGCCTAAAAAGTATAGAAAATGGCTATTATTCCCCACAAACTTTGCTTTTGTGACCAGGACAGTGATTTTTTTAAATTTATCTATTTTGAATGAGAAAATGGGCGAATTTGTGTCTTTTCGTTCATATAAAAAGTCAGAAAAAACAACATATGAATCAAAATTAACATGTATTTATACTAAAGTAATACAAGAATTACCACAAAAGTTGAAGAAATGAGTAGTTTTTCGAGATTTACGATTATACTGTAAATCACTTTCACATCATGTTATCGTTATACTGTCCTTGGTAGCGGCGTTCAAAGTCCAGTATATCCTGGTAGAAGCGCTCGTCTTGCTCCTCCGAGTACGCTCCCATGTTCTCCTTGAATTTATCAAGATGAGTATCAAGGATATGGACTTTGAGGGGCATCCTACAGCCCATCGTGCTGTAGTTCTTCATCGGTCTCAACGAGCTCCACATAGTTTTCGACCTTGTGATTGCCCAGGAAGTCACGAACCACTGCGACAAAGCTGTTACAAGCCGCTTTCTCCTTTCTAGTGAGCTTCTTGGGGAATTTATTGCACTCCAGGATCTTCTTTATCTGTGGTCCGACGAAGACACCGGTTTTGACCTTTGCCTCAGACAGCTTAGGGAAGAAGTATTGAAGGTACTTGAAGGCTGCCAACTCACCAGTGGCTGTCCGCTGTCACCAGTCCCGCCTGTGGTAGTGCACCTTGTGTCCCTGCTGTTCCAAACGCAAAGATAGCAGGGAAACATGGTAAAACAGCCTTGGAGACCCATCAGGAATGCCACCATTTTGAAGTCTCTGATGACCTCCCAGCCGTACTCATCATACTTCAAGGCGTCCAGCAAGGTCTTGAGGCTGTTGTAATCCTATTTGAGGTGCACCGAGTGAGCCAGGCGAAGAGACGGGCACTTGTTACCATTATGGAGCAGCACAGCTTTGAGGCTCCTGGATGAGCTGTCAATGAAAAGGCGCCACACATTCTGGTTACAGGCGATTCCGATTCCCTCGAACAGACTGGTCATATTGTGGCAGAAGCAGAGCCCATCTTGACAGGTGAAGAAGCTGCAAAAAGGTTGGTGACGCTTCCTCTGATCTGCGACTTGCATACTTTCATTCAACAAGTTCCACTGCTTGAGCCTCAATATCAAAAGCTCGGCATTGGACTTGGTGAGACCAAGATCTCTGATCAAGTCGTTGAGGTCTTTTTTTTTGGGGGTAGTATGGGTTTCCCTCCTCAACTCCACCTCTGAAATTGTCATCTGGATCTACAACGTCTTCCTCACTCTCTGACTTGATGCTCTCTTCTAAAGATGGTTGCTCTCTTTCCGGAGGAGTGGGTACGGGGAACTCATGGCAATGTGGCACCGGGGCGATGGATGAAGGAAGGTCCAGATATGTGATAGCAGGTGCATTCTTGCCAGTCCGACGTTTGGAAGGGTCCACCATGCAGAAGTAGCAGTTGCGTGAGTGGTCAGTGGGTTCCCGCCACATTCTTGGAATAGCAAACTTCATGGCTCTCTTTTCCCCTCTGTACCATCCTACAAAAATACATTTATTTCACACATGATTAATGTGTAAGAGATTATCCTAAGATTTTAAATAAATTATATATTTTTTCAATAACTTAGAAAATTGTGAAACATTTTAGAATTTAAAACTTTAACAATTAAAAAAATTGTAACAAATTGTCTAACATAAATTTCTGAGCAACAATTGTCCATCTTACCTTCTAGAGTTGTTATGCATTGCTTGTAGGTGAAATGAAGTGCCCAGGGTTTTTCTTGATCCCCGAAATGCATGCCTAAATATTCCTCGGAGGCCTCACACATCTTAGCAGATGCTTCCACATGGTACTTTTTTGCTCTTGTCTTGATAAATTGGGGGCAGACATAGCAAAATGCGTCTGTCAGATGCTTGCAGCCTCTTGATGCCATCTAAAAAAAATGCAGATATGTATCCACATAGGCAGCTGGAACTAAACTGAACTGGTGGGCTTAAGGCCCCTGTATTTATACGACTATTTATATTACTGGAAAGTTCTAGAATGTTCTAGAAGTTACTCCAAGTTTGCTCAGCACAGAATTTATCTGGAATGTTCTGGAAAATAGGTAAATTTAAAAATATCACTATCCTGGTCACAAAATCAAAGTTTGTGGGGAATAATAGTGATTTTCGGTACTTTTGAGGCATAAGAAATTAGGAAATAACACTTACTACCGAGGAACAAAACAAATAAAAAAAATGGTTACACAGTGGAATCAACAGTTGCCATGACGTTTAGTTATCTAATAAAGCTTTAAAAATAAATATCCCCAAATAGCCTTAACACACTGATGGGCCAAGTGCAGTTTAGAGAGCACTTTCGAAGGCCGACACTGCACACGAAGGGGAGGGTGGCCAGTAGCACGCCCGCCCGCCCGCCTTTGTCTCCCAAGCTGCGATGTGTATACATCGTACTAGGTACTCATTTTAGACTGTGTCGTCATTAGGGGAGGCCTAGGACTGGTTTAGATATTCGTCACTCATGTTAGCCCTGAGCAGACCCAACTACCTGAACTCAGGTAGTTGAGTCTGTATCACAACACATGTCCAGCCCTTTTATAAACACACTGTTAGATTGGGGCAGGGGTCGGTAAACAAAATAACAATAAGAGCAATTTCTTTTCGAATTCGCTAAAAAGAAAACCTCTACATTTCAAGAGCTGCAATACATGTGAATATGAGACGGTGGTCCTTAGTAAATAGCATCACAAAGCGGTCCTTAAAGAGCCGTATTCGCCTCCGGAGCCGCGGGTTGCTGACCCCTAGATTAGGGTCTCCTCACGCCACGACTGGGGGTGAGGGCTATTTAATCAAACTTCACTCCGCGCACCATCTATCCTTTCCGCAAACCTCCCCAGATCAGAACGCTAGGAACTGACCGACAGACAAAGCGGTTAGTTTTTTGTGTACCTATACTGTTATCTGGAGACGAGCATGTGAAGGAGACATTGCTCGTTGTTTTTGTTATGTGTGCATAGCGGTCACCTATCCAACCAAGCACCATCCAATCTGAACCCTGCTTAACTTCACATATTTGATGAGATTGGCCACATTGTGGTGATTTGGGTATACGAAATAAACTGCATTCTATGGCAAAACATTATAATATCACACTGTAACTAACCATTGTACTATTCCAATCTTGATGATGATGTAAACGTGCACAAATGCCATAATCCTGTGTTGTCCTCCTGGTTCCTGGTTGTAGCTGATGCCTTTCTTGGTGATGGACATCTTGAGTGACTTCCCAGGAGTCCCGGGCCTCTTTGTCTCCAGCGCTTTCAGTGGTACACTGAGGTAGGCAGCTTCTCACGCTCAGCAAGGCACCGTCATTCGCACCTCCGATTAGCACGTTTGGCTATGTACAGTATGAAAGAAGTTCAACATATATACAAACACACAGGAACAAAAGTTAAGTTTTGTTTTCACAGGAACGCTGTAAACATGAGTCTCGGGACATGTATGCAATTGCATAATTACGTTAAATTCAATTGACCATAAACTCCAATGCAGTGGAGCTCCTCTTATACGCAAACATAGTACTGTATATGTGACTCCTGCTATCTACCTCCAGAATCTATCTAGGTAAACTCCTACTAATGCACAGCCGTTACTCGGACAAGCGAAGTCATGCAGAAAATTCCTCCTATCATTCATCATGTACAACAAGTTAGCGGAATCTGAGAATGACAAACAGCAGGAAAATATGCCTCAAAAATCACGTTTTCAATCCATACTACAGACCATGAGACTCGGATCGAAAACATGGACCTTGACTAAGAACATGGAACAAATACACATTTGAGACATATTGATTGTTAATACAAAGTACATGGGCTTGGGCAGGACACATGGCTTGAAACGACGGTGGCCAATTGACAAAACTCCTCCCGTGCTTGGTCTCGATATCCAGAAATGACTGGAGACTGAGTTCAGTGTCGCGGGTTCATAGCATTGTTTTATATCTAAGCAGTATATCGGTTACCATGGCTTCCAATAAGATGATCACAATTAAAAATGTAATTATAAAATTGGCTCAGGATTGTATATGGCAGATGGATACTGCCGATTGCTCATTTGAGTGAGACAATATTTGGTATTTAAAAAAAACATATTATCAAATATGAAGTTGTGATTCAAAAATACTTGTATTATTTACAGTGCCATATTTTAATATAGATTATTATTTGTGATGTGTAGTACAGTGTCCTCCAGCATAAACGCACTGGCAGCTGTTACTTTGGAAGATCTCATCAAGCCTCGCTTCCTGAATCTGCCCGAGAAGCGACTGTCCTTGGTCTCTAAGGGCCTCAGTGAGTAACAACACTAATTCTTCATTGTAACATACATCTTGTAAAATAATTTTGCTCTTCCTTTAATGTTGTACAATGCTATATGTGTTCAGTTAGCTGCCTCCGTTCTGGTTATTACAAATATTGAAAATGAGTGCTGTTAAACAGCACTCATTATAGTAATGTTTAATAGGTTTAATGTGATTTCAGTATTAACCCCCAAAACATGACAGGAATGAATAAATGCACTTACACCTACTCCCACCTGCCCCTTCCCCCTCTTGTTTGTTGCTCTGTTGGGGGTCAATTTGTTACAACTATGAATAATGTAACCCGATTGTACAGTCGTGTGTATAATAATTATTTCCTGTCTCTTTTTTCTGGGATTTTGAGGGCACTGTGGCATATGTGTTCAGAACAACTGCCTGGGGCAAATACAACCATTAATAACTATGCTTCCTATTCCCTCTGCATTCACGAACGCTGTATCTGCATGCATCCAATTTCAGACCCTTCTATGCCATGCTCTACCATGTACAGCCCAAAAAAAAGCAGGTCCATACCATCAGTTTAGATCAAATTAAAACTGGAATTTACCTAGATGAGACATCATTGATGACTTTAGAGCTTTGTTGGTAGCCATTCCTTTGAAGGTGCTTCAAAGCAAATATCACTTTATAGGTAGAATTCTGTAGATGTTTTAATTAAATGTTTTGTTTTAAAATCAGCAAGTCATACGCAATGGGTTTTTTGGAAACATTTATATAAGTTGTGCAAAATTAAGGAGTTAATTTAACCACAAAAACCGTGTATTTGAGGCATACTGGAGCTATACATTTTCACCTACTGTAGATACCTGGATTGCGATCTCTACTTCATACCTTCCAAGAAATGGCTGCAAATCTTCTTCTTGAAAGAAAAACAAAGATTTTACATCATTGATGTAATGTTTAGGTATATTATGGGTTTAATTGGGGTTGTCTGACTTAGAATTTTGGCTGCCTGGGCTGACTCCAGCCCAGGAGTTGGAGCTACAGCCTGGGATACAGGTGTGTGTGGACAGCCCAGACCCATAACAGGGTGAATACAGCTCGCATTTAAAGGTGCGTGTGTATGGAGGATTAGATATATTAAAACCCACATCCAAGGATAATTTGTCTTTTTTTAAGTTGCCAAAAACAAGATGTATTAATTAGGTTTGTGTAATAATAATTAAACCAAAGAAAATAAGAGCAGTGAAAAACAACTTGAAGAATACCTAGAGCATTTATAAATGTGAGTAAAAAATTTCACACATTTACAGACTTTTGAATCATACAGATGTAGGTAAGCTCATGCTGTCTGAAATGCCTTGCATAATTTCAATGCCTTGCATAATTTAAATGCCTTGCATAATTTATTAACAAAACCATTATTCAGAATGATGAGTTCAGCATGGATACATTTATTTGTTCAAGTATATATCTATCTAGTGTCTACCTCACAACTGAGGGTAAAGTCCATGACAGATACTTTCCAACATTTGCGATTTGCAGCACCTTTCATGGAAGTCCCATCTGACTGCTCACATTGTCCCACCAGTTGATCCGTTTTCTTCCCCTCTTCACTCCCATTTCTCTTTTCAAAATCATATTTATCATATCTCCAGCAGTAACCCACTTAGTATAGGTGCCACATAAGTGATCTTTCCTCTCATCAGACTGCTCAGTAATTTCTGCTTCTAGCCATTCTCAGCACATCTTCATTCATCTTGTTGTCACATAAGCTGACTGTTCCCATTATCCTCTAACACCACATTTAAAACGCAGTGTCGATGTTTCACTGGCATATCCCACTGTACTCCACACTCAAACTTTCAATATCTTAATCCTTAATCATCTGTGACCTATTCGAAAGCAGTATTAACCATTACTTTTCTCGTATTAACTTCTTGTTCCCACCCTCAATGGTCAGTGACTGCTTCCAATGCATATTTTAGCTGAGTGTATGCATATGTATGAATTTGAGAATGGTTAAAGTGTTTTTTTCTTTAATTATATTGTTATTGGTGCAAGAATACAAATAAAAACTAATGCTGATGTCATGTGTATTGACGACAGGTGTCGGCTATGGTGTGATTTGCATAGCCATGGCAGTAGCTGCTTCAGGAATGGGAAGCATCCTGCAGGTATTCCTGTTTTCACTTTTCATAAAGCACACTCTATGAATATTGTTAATAAAGTTTGTGAAGTTAAAGTATCAAAGTGTACAGTTTTAAAGGTGTCTATGATGGCGATAGTGGTGTAACAAAACATCAATAATTTGGTTAATATTGATTCTTAAGCTCGTGATGCATGCATACAATTGTCGGTAAGAATCTACATGTTTCTATTGGTACTTTGTGATGCATTCAAGTGATCCATAATATGTTTTTTTGGGTTATATCGCATACATATGAATGTGTCGTTAAACCCGTCACCACCCGAAACAGCCAATAAGTAAGATTTGTCACGTAAGCATGCCAATTCGTTACTAGTACAGCACACTGGAGAGCAAATCTACAACATTTACAATCTTAGTACGACGTTTTGCCATTAATTACAACTAGCTTCATCAGGCGACAGCCAGTTTTGTGCAGAAATCTTCCTGGTTGGTTCCTTAAATAGAGGGATAGATGTGATGACGTCACTTGTGAGCCCTTCACGTGCGAAGGGGGTATTAATGAATGCATATACATTACATTAGGTATCCATTGCCGGTTGAGTTATTCATATTGTAATCAACGTACATTATGCATACACTTTATGCATGCACATTATTCTTGACCATCCTGTCTTTTGCGTGCAATGAAATAGCAGTACCCGTTATTGATTTTTCTTTTTCTTATTAAATATGAGCAGCTAATGCATGCATCAGACCAGGGTTTTCATAATTGTGAGTCATGACCATCAGCAAGATGCATGTCTCAAATTGCAATGAAGTGAAAACTGAATAAAACTATGACAAATATTTAAAACGAAACTATTTTTGTTTTAATATTGACTTAAAGCTTTTCGTGACTGCAGGAATTGATATTCTTGTGTCTTTCGGTAAAGAAAATAACAAAAAATACCGAAAAAACTATGACGTTTCGATCGCAACACAAGCGGTCGTCTTCAGGTAAGGCCCACTGAGCTATATACATAACCCTTTTTTCAGAAGCGACCTGGCCACAATTGATTGCTCAACGAAGTGGCTTATCACGTGGACATTTATAGCAGCCAAATACTCTAAATGCATGTTTCTACACTCCTTGAATGATATATCCAAGGAGTGTGGTCTCCTATTAGGCAATGCGTTTGATAAGAGATCACAGATAAAAAAACTAGTTTTGGAAAACCCTGATTCGATTCTGCCGTGATGAAGGTGCAGCATGCTTGGGACCACATTTTCACCATGGCAGTTTTTGTTTTTCAGGCGGCATTGATGGTGTTTGGGATTCTGGGAGGCCCCATGCTCGGCGTCTTCGTCTTGGGAATTCTCTTCCCCTGCAGCAATGACTACGTAAGAAAGACCCCCATGCTTAACGTGGCAGTAGGTTGATAAAATGATGTAAGTTGTAATTCTTATTATACGAGTAAGCTGAATCTTGATAATTGGGTTCAGTTAATTAGACATGTGTAATGACATATTGACATCTACTGGTTGGAAAAAGGGAAGCACGGGTACAGGCACCACTATAAACATCATCCAATCCCAAAGGGAGAGGTATCTGGGTCAAAGGTAAAGGGCGGGGCTGGCCTAGATACTCCGGGAACCGGCTAGAAGGTTCCACAAGAGGGTGTGGCCGGAGGCGGAGCCTAGCCGCGCCTGCAGCAATATAAGCAGAGGCGGAGGAGGACTCGTGGTCGGTGTAGGGAGCCTTGGGTCTGGACTGCGTCATTGCTCACCGTCATCTCTTTTCGCCATTCGGCCACGTGGCAGATTTCCTGTGAAGTCAACCAGCGGCGAGGCCGGGAGTGGGCGGATGGAACCACATTTGGTTCCATCCGCCCACTCCTTACATTGGAGTCAGAAGTGGTTTAACAAGATACAAGTTAACATAAGATGTCTAAACATCAGAAGAAGCGTCACCCACCGGTGGAGTCTTCCAAGGATGATGAAAATGGAACCCAAGACCTGCCAACCCTGGGAGCCGTGGTTCCGGTTATGAAAACCACGGCGGAAGAGGTTGCAGCGCCGGAGACGGTCGGCGCAGACGCAACATCTATGCACCTAGCAGCCCCAAGACAGCTGGAGGAAGGTGTCGGAGCAGCTGGACTTGTTGCTGGCGGTGGTTGTGCAGCTGGTGTTGCTCGTTCACGGCATCTACGGTGGCGGGGCACTCAACACACGCATCACTGGGAGGTAGCGACCAGGAGTCCGAGGTGGATGTTTCAGCGGGTTCGTCTGCAGGTGCGACAACCACTATTACGCATGCTGAGGGGAGCGCACAGCTGGACGCCACCATTTCAGGCAGTGCGGGAGAGGCACGGACGGAGTCGCCATTTTACAATAGACGCATGGTGCGCAAGGTGCGGCAGCCGCCGCCAAGGACATGCGGAGTGGGACCGATCGTACTCACAGACTTCCTCAAGATAAATCATTTGTCACGGCAGGCGGCGACTGGAGCGCCTTCACTTGGCGATTCGAGGCGGCTTTTCATTCAGTACATTGGATGGAGGAGGAGGCGCTGGTCGCTTTGCTGACTGTTTTGGATGATGACGTTCTGGACGTTTTTAGAGCCATTCCTGCAGAGAAAGAGTCCACACTTCAAGGTGCTTATGCTGAGATGGCAGACTTGTACGAGCCGCCTTCTAACACGTGACACAAATTTTTTCAACGTAGGCGAGGGGAAGCCGAGACGCCTCTCGCCTATCGCAGTGTGCTATTGGCGTTAGCGGGAACAGCTTACCTTGCCGTAAATCCGGAGGCCCTCGACTTGCTCGTCATAGAACGAATGTTGGGACTGGCTAGAGACATGGGGGTGGTCTTACCTGTTTGTGACAAAGACATTCAAACGTCCCGATGGGCCGCCAGGTGTCTTCAGGCCCACGAAAATCTACAGCGTTGATCTCAGATGGCGGCGTGGACGGGGAACCCCAGTCAGGACAGGGAACCGAAGGGATGGTCGCCGAGCACGGTTGTGGTGATTCCGGCCCGGCGATGCATCTTCAGAGGGGGATGTTGCTGCTGCAGTTCCGCCATGGAATCGGAGACGGGGGGACGCTGCGTGCCATTGATGGAGCTGGAGACCGCGTCAACGCGAGGACTGGGTGGCGCAGAGGCTGCCTTTGGTCTGTTTCCGCTGTGGCCAGCTGGGGCACTTTGCGAGGGGATGCCAGAATCGCCCTCCAACACCGATTGCTGCTCCAGCGCCCAATGCCCCTCCGGCGGCTCAACCTCAATCCCAACAGCATCCGGGCCTGTGACCGTGAACGGGGCTCGGGACCTCGCCAGGATCAAGAATGTGCCTGCTGCTGCCGAGCCTGCTGCTCCTGTGCCTCCTGTGTTGCAGCCCGCATCTCCGGATGATCCGGTGGTTGGCACGCCGCCCAAGAGGGAGCAGGAGGCCGTCCCCATTGACAGACCAGCGTCGTGGACTCGGTCCAAATGCTTGCGTTTCCATTGATCCTTGCTCTGTCAGAGTGCCTAAGGGTTGTTGCGTTTTGTTCCCTTCCTCCGTCTTGCCCCCTTTGTATATCCCCTTCTCTCCGTGTCCCCTCATTATTGCGGGTAAATTGTTCTATGGGTTGTCCCGTCCTTTAAGGCACATGCCATGAGTCCTGCTTTTATACCTCTTTATTGTAAATCTTATTCTGTGCATATGTAGGGGTGTCAGGGGAAGGATTCCCACCAATAGATGGGTTAGTGGGAGGGGTGATCGAAGAGATATAAGGAGAGAACGGGCGGGAAGAGGGGGCCTTTGGCGGGAACGAGATTGGGACGGCTGGGGACAGGTGTGGATGGAAGGAAAGGAATAAAGGACGAGACCCCTGCAATCTGGTGTTGGCTCCTACTTTACATCTGGTGGCAGCGGTGGGATCTCATGGCTACAAAGAAAAATCCCCGCGGGAAAGAGCCAAGGGAGGAGGAAGCAGGGGCCGAGGATCCTTCCCATCCCGGGCAACAAGGGGGCCTGCTATCAGAAGCAGCAGCAGGGGGCCCGGATCGCCTGGAGGACCCCATGGAGGACCGCATGGCCCGCGTGGAGAGGGCACTCCAGGAGCTCCTACAGAGGCTCCCTATGGGGGGCCCGCCAGCACCGGGACCCCCACCCCCACGCGTACTACGGGAGGAGAGGCCACGGGACCCGGAGGCCGACCAGCCGGCCGGGCAAGAGCCGCAACCAACCTCGTCACGCCAGCCGCCGCCGGTCCCGCCAAAACCCCCAGGGCTAACCACCCAACACGGAGAGCAGGTGGCCGGACGGCCGCGTCGGCTGGGGCCCGTCGACAAGTTCGTGGCTGAGGAAGAAGACTGGGAGGAGTTTGTCCGCCGATTCGAGGCTGCCTTCCACGCTCTCGAGTGGACAGAAGAAGAGGCACTACGAGCGCTGCCATCCGTTCTGGGCAAGGAAGCACTCGCCTCTTACACCTCCCTTCCCTCGCACAGCAAGACCACGCTACAGGCGGCCTACGAGGCTTTGGGGGAGATCTATTGCCCGGCGGAAGGAGCCTTTAAACGGTTCCAGGATCGCCAGCGAAGGGCTAAAGAATCCCCTTTAGCCTACAGGGGTGCACTGCTCGTGTTGGCGAGGAGAACTTTCCCTCGCCTGGCTGAAGAAGCGCTCGAGGACCTCGTGGTCGAGCACCTCATCGCCTACGCTTGCCGCGCCGGCGTTGTAATGCCCGTGGTGATGCCGGGGGAACGCACCTCGCTGTGGGCTGCCCGGACCATCCAAGCCCACGAGCAGGTCATGGGCCGGGCGCCACCCGTGGGCCCGGTGGCTGGCGCGGCGGGGGGGAACAGCCGAGCCGCTGCCGCGGCGCTACTGGGTCCAGCGACACCAACCGCCGAACCTGCACCATCGCCACAGGCTGCCTGTGGAGCAGCTGGGGACGGACCCCCGACGTCTGAGACGGAGCCATCGCTGCGGGAGGTGTACGCGGCGATCCGGGGACTGGCGGAGCAGAGGGACCAGGGGCGCGACCAACCGCCGCGTCGCTGGCAGCCGCCTCTACAACATCGCGCCGAGCCCCCCCGACGGAACGCCCCGTGGGTCTGCCACCAGTTGTGGTCGAGAGGGGCATGTGGCGAGGGGGTGCCGCACAGAGCCGGAGGCCGCCAACGTCACCTGGAACCCGCCGGGGCCGAACGCCGACAGGATCCAGGCGAGTGACGCCGTCCCGCCCGGCCTCTCGGTCGGGCCGAGCAATTATAATTCCGATGCCGCGAACTTACCGGGAGTCTCCTCGGGGTGGGCGCCGTCGGTGTCGTTCCCCGGTCCCCATTGTCCGGGTCGGGGGAAGGGGATCGCGCCGGGGATAGCGCCGGGGCCTGGGATTGCGTCGCGACCAGGGGTGGCGTCGCGACCCGGAGTGGCGTCGCGAACGGACGTGACGTCGCATCCGGGAGTGACGTCGCGGCCAGGAGTGGTGTCGCGGATCGCGCCGGGAATTGCGCCGGGGCCGTGGACCACGTCGGGGATCGCGCCGAGGCCGGAGACCGCGTCGGGAGTCGCGCCGGGGCCGGAGACCGCGTCGGGAGTCGCGCCGAGGCCGGGAGGGACGTCGCGGGCGGAGGTGACGTCGCGGGCGGACGTGACGTCGCGGGCGGAGGTGACGTCGCGGGCGGACGTGACGTCGCGGGCGGAGGTGACGTCGCGGGCGGAGGTGACGTCGCGGGCGGGCGTGGTTTCGCGGCCGGGCGTGACGTCGCGGGCGGGCGTGACGTCGCGGGCGGGCGTGGTTTCGCGGGCGGGCGTGACGTCGCCGGCGGGCGTGACGTCGCGGGCGGGCGTGACGTCGCCGGCGGGCGTGACGTCGCGGGCGGGCGTGACGTCGCGGGCGGGCGTGACGTCGCCGGCGGGCGTGACGTCACCAGTTGCCTGCGACGCCGGCGAGTTGCCAGGGGCAACGGCCCGGGGGCGGAGGCAGCCCACAAGATTGACAGTGCGCCCTGGAGCAGTTCCACGGGCCGCCTCACCACCGCTTTGCGGCAGATCGAGACGGAACCAGGGGGACCACGCCCCCGTGACAAAGGGAAGGGAGGGGAGAAGGGAGGGGCTCACGGGAAGGCCCACCCCCCAGTCCCCACTGCCCCCTACAATGGGGGGGGGCCCCCACACCACAAGGGGGGCCCATCCTACGTCACCAAAGGGGGGCAATTTGCACCACATAGAGAGCCCAGCCCGCAACCCAGGGGTAAGCCCACACTATGTAACAAGGGCGCGTTCACCCTGCTGCGACGCACTCCAAAGGGAGGAACCCCATCTTCAGTCCATTCACATCCATCCCCCATCATTTCACCATGCACCACAGGATAACGAGACGCCGCCTGGTCAGTGGCCGGACTCAGCCACA